TGTGTGTGTGTGTGTGTGTGTGTGTGTGTGTGTGTGTGTGTGTGTGTTTATTTTTAGAGACAGAGTCTCGATCTGTCACTCAGTGGTGCCATCTCGGCTCACTCCGCCTCCCAGGTTCAGGCAATTCTGTGCGTCAGCCTCCCAAGTAGCTGGGATTACAGGTCTCTGCCACCACGCCTGGCTAATTTTTGTATTTTTAGTAGAGACAAGATTTCACCATCTTGGCCAGGCTGGTCTCGAACTCCTGACCTCAAGTGATCTTACAGGCATAAGCCACTGCGCCTGGCTCTGTGTGTCTGTTTTTGGTGAGGATTAAAAGATTTAATATCCATCTAGGGGACTCAGGACAGTACTTGGCACGATGATGATGATGGCAATGATGCTGATTTTCCTGAATGGGGACACTAAGTGACTCACCCAAGGTCATTCAGAGAGTCAACTGGCCAAGCTACACTTAGAACTTGGGCAATCTGATTCCAAGTTGGTGCTGCTAACCCCAATGCTGTGCTCTCTATGGGCGCAACGCAGCTCTGTGTCCTTACCTCTGTGGCTGCAGACCCAATGACTCTTGGCCCAATCAAGCAGTCAACAGCATCAGCAGGCTGGACCCCCGCTTTTCTCTCTGCAAACTCAACCGATTGCTCCTGTTCTCATTCCCCTTTGACATTCTGTGTCCTCCACAGGAGTATCACTGCATTTTGGCTGGGGCTGGCCTTGGCTGGGAGAAAGAACAGCCCCTGTGACTGTCGAATAAATAAGATTTTGCCTTTGTGGGGCCAGGTAGGACATGGCCAGAAGAATCCACTTCCCATCCTTCTGTCACCCACCCGTGGAACAGAGTGATCCTCACAAACCTCCTGAACAATAATCAACGTTGTGGGAACGCGCTGCCTCTGGCTGAGGTGGACCCCACAGGCTGGGAGCACTCCAGCAGCTGAAGGAGGCGTGTGTCCAAGCTCAGGATGGAGAGAAGTTGGCCCAGCTGACAAAACAAGGCTGGTAGCATTCATGGAGCGGTGCCTCAGGCCAGGCTCGGTGCAAAGCGCTCATGGAGCAGTGCCCTGGGCCAGCCTTGGTGCAAAGTGTTCTGTGTACACTGCTCACAGTCCAGGGAGTGGGGGCTGCTGCTCTTCCCTTTTCTTTTTTTTTTTTTTTTTTTGGAGAGGCAGTTTCTCGCTCTGTCACCAGGCTGGAGTGCAATGGCGTGATCTTGGCTCACTGCAACCTCTGCCTCCCAGGTTCAAGTGATTCTACTGCCTCAGCCTGCCGAGTAGGTGGGGCTGTAGGCGTGTGCCACCACACCCTGCTAATTTTTGTATTTTTAGTAGAGATGGGGTTTCACCATGTTAGCCAGGATGGTCTCGATCTCTCAACCTTGTGAACTGCCTGCCTTGGCCTCCCAAAGTGCTCAGATTATAGGCGTGAGCCAACGTGCCCAGCCTTTTTCCTTGAGACAGAGTCTCACTCTGTCGCCCAGGCTGGAGTGTAGAGGTGTGATCTGGGCTCACTGCAGCCTTCCTCTCCCAGGTTCAGGAGATTCTTGTGCCTCGGCCTCCCGAGTAGCTGGGATTACAGGTGTGTGCCACCACGTCTAGCTAATTTTTTTTTTTTTTTTGGTCTTTTTAGTAGAGACAGGGTTTCGCCATGTTGACCAGGTCTTGCTCCATCTGTTACCCAGGCTGGAGTACAGTCCCACCACCATGGCTCACTGCAGTCTTGAACTCCTGGGCTCCAGTGATCCTCCTGCCTCGGCCTCCTAAGTAGCTGGGATCATAGGTGGACACTGGACACTACCACACCTGGATAATTAAAAAAAATTTTTTTTAGAGGTGGGGTCTCGCTATGTTTCCCAGGCTGGTCTTGAACTCCTGGGCTCAAGTGATTCTCCTGCCATGGCCTCCCAAAGTGTTGGGATTACAGGCGTGAGCTACTGCACCCAGCCAAAGCTGGAATTTGAATCCAGGTTTCCTAATGTTGATCCAAACATACAAGCAGTGTGCCAGGCACACCCCACCTTTCCCTGTCTTTTTCTGCAGAGAAGCAAACAATATAGATGACTGAGTATATTTGCGCTTCCTCCATGCCAGGGGCTGGGCTAGGTCCCTTCCATTCCCAAACATCTTCCCAACAATTCTAGGAGGAATGAACTTTGCTTTCCAGAGGGGTTACAGGAGGCTCAGAGGGGTACACGGACGGGCAGGATTTTGCCACAGGTTGGAGTGGTCTCTCAGGACACCCTCTGCACCCCCCAAGGTGCTCCCACAGCTCTACCTTGAATGAGGTGCTCCAAGGAGGGACGGGACACTGGGTTGTACATTAGAATCCTGTGGCTGCCGTAACAAATTACCACCAACTTCGTGGCTTGAAACAACACTGATTTATTATTATTATTATTATTATTTTTTGAGATGGAGTTTCACTCTTGTTACCCATACTGGAGTGCAATGGCGCGATCTCAGCTCACTGCAACCTCCGCCTCCTGGGTTCAGGCAATTCTCCTGCCTCAGCCTCCCCAGCAGCTGGGATTACAGGCACGCGCCACCATGCCCAGCTAATTTTTTGTATTTTTAGTAGAGATGGGGTTTCACCATGTTGACCAGGATGGTCCCGATCTCTTGACCTCGTGATCCACCCGCCTCGGCCTCCCAAAGTGCTGGGATTACAGGCTTGAGCCCCCACGCCCGGCCCTGATTTATTATTTTATAGTTTTAAGGATCAGAAGGCCAAATGAGGTTTCACTGGGCCAAAATCCGGGTATTGGCATGGCCGGGCTCCCACCGGAGGCTGCAGGGGAGGATTCGTTTCCTTGCCTTTTCCAGCCTTTAGAGGCCGCCTGCATCCCGTGGCTGGTGGCCCTGTCCTCCAGCCTCAAAGTCAACGACAAGGTGCCCTCGGCTCTCTCTGAAAACTCTGACCTCTTTCCAGCATTCGCTTCTCCTTCCCTCTCTCTGACCTGCTGGCCTCCCTCTGTAAGCACCCCGCAATTACCCTGGGTGCCCCCACATCATCCAGATCCTTTCCCCATCTCAAGAGCCTCAGTCACATCAGCAAAGTCCCTCTCTCCATATAAAGTAATATATCCACAGGTTCCACAGATTATAACGTGGACATCTTGGCGGGGTGGGCATTATTCAGCCAACCACAGGCTGACCCTGTTGTGCCCAACCCGCCAGCCCCTGCCCTGCGGTCAAGACCAGCAAGCAGGAAGAAGTCAAGCCGGACAGGGCAGACGGAGGGTGTCCTGTTTTCAAGTGGAGCAAAGGTGTGGAGGTGGGGAGGCCCAGGGCAGAGTGCCCACTGCCTCCGGGTCCGGGCCTGGCCTGAGCTGGGGTTACATCCATAGGCGTGTTCCTTGAAGAGCAGAATTACTTTTCAAGTTCTAAAAATTCCACCCTGTTGCTAACTAAACGCCGGGGTTCTTGCGAAATAAAGCAGCACCATGAAAGGCCTGGCAAGGGGCGCCCGGAGATGCTGATCGGAAGCAGATCGGGGCAGCTCCCTCCGAGGCAGCAACAGCCAAAGCCCTTCCCGAAGTCCTCACGGAACTCAAGGCCAAGGTCAGGCTCTGGGTGGGTGCCAGCGCCTGGGGCTGAAGGTGCTGGGTAGGAGGAAGCAAGGGAGAAAAGGAGTGAAGCAGCATTGTGAGCGCCTTGGAGGCGGGGCCTCCCATGTCACCGTGGCTTTATCCTCCAGAAAACCCTGCAAAGGAAGCGTCAGCATGGCCATCATCCCATGGGAAAGTGAAGGCTCAGGGAGGTGAAATCACTGGCCTAGAGTCACACAGCAGTAAGACCTGGGATTCCAACCAATCCACCTGACTGAGACCAGTGCCTTTTCTACGTTATCACACAAACTGCAACCAGGCTCAACACATGAACTTGACAAATACCTGGTGACTGTTGCTCACAGTCAGATTGCAAGGTGGCTGGCAGTGCACGTCCTTGAGCCTCGCAGCCTGCGTCTGAGTCCGGGCTCTACCAAGCCGGGGGATCTTCACCTCTCTGTGCCTCAGTTTCCCCCATCTAAAGTGGAGTCGGGCCAGGCGTGGTGGCTCACACCTGTAATCCCAGCACTTTGGGAGGCTGAGGTGGGCAGATCACCCTGAGGCCAGGAGTTTGAGGCCAGCCTGGCCAACATGAAGAAACCCCATCTGTAATCCCAGCTACTTGGGAGGCTAAGGCAGGAGAATGGCTTGAACATGGGAGGCAGAGGTTGCTGTGAACCGAGATTGTGCCAATGTACTCCAGCCTGGTTGACAGAGTGAGGCTGTGTCTCAAAGATAAAAAAAAAAATGAAGTGGAGTCAATAAAAGCACCTCGGTCATGGGGTGCTGTGAGAGTTGAATGAGTTAATTCAGGTTGAGTGTTTGGGCTGTGACACTGCTGCACCCAGAGGAACCCCCCAAGGTCCAATCCCCCAAAGTCCCCCCATAAGGTCTTTTAGGCTGACTGATGGCACCATAGACACCATGGCGACCCCCGTGACCTGCACATACACCTCTGGATGAGCTCCCAGAATTAGAAGATCTGAAGTAACTGGAAGACCATGAAAAGAGGAAGAACCATCAACCCCTGGGCCTAATGAACTCAAGGCATTCTTCCATTGTTCCTCATTCCCGCCTCAACTGATAAGGCGACTGGACTTTGTAACCGACCTTGGTCAACCTTGTGACTCCGGACGCCCTCCCAGCTTGCAAAAACCGCCCTCAACTGTAACTTCTGTAACTTTCCACTGCCTACCCCAACCTATAAAACCAACTCCGATCCCACCGCCCTGCACTGATGCTCTTTTCAGGCTAAGCCCACCTGCACCCAGGTGAATAAACAGCCATGTTGCTCACACAAAGCCTGTTTAGGGGGTCTCTTCATTCAGATTGTGTGTTTTCACACACCCCACCCCCAGCACACAGCCTCTCTCTGTCTCTGGTGGGCTTTCTCTGGCTGTCCTGTCTTCCGAGAAGTCAGCAACATCCTAACCTATGTTTGACTTGATGCAGAGAGAAGCAGCAGAGAAGGCCTAGGCTCCCGTCTTGCAGATAATTCCCAAATCCTCACACAGGCTAATCTTTGGAGCATCTTTTAGCCACAAAACCATGAAAACCATCAGGAAATCAGTGAAGTAACAGGGGAGCCCATCCCTCCCACCCAGCCCATGCTGGCTGAGGAGCTTCTGGGGCAGGTCCCATCTGCTGGAGAGTGTCCGAGGCCTGCCTGCTCCTGGGTACAGACCCGCATTTCCACTTCCTGTTTGCCTCACGTCAAAACCAAATGCGCTTAAAACCAGGCTCAATGTGGACAGCAACTCACGGAGTGCTTATCCTGTCCCAGTGCTCTGTCCCAAGTTCCTCACACACAAGAATTGGAAAGTACTACACCCATTCCGTAGATGGAAGCTGGAGATGAGAGAGGTTAAGCAACTTGCCCAAAGCCACACAGCAATGAAGTGGGGGAGCTGCGATCTGATCATGCCTGCTTGATGCTGTTGTTCTGTGAGGCCCCACTGGACCCCAGGTGCCCAGGTCCTGATCAGCCATGAGGCTCTGAACCCTGCTGCCAACTCCCAGCCCAGCCCCCACTCCTCCGCACTCAGGGGGCTGTCCACTTCCCCACGCGTGCTTTCCGCGTGGATTTACTCAGAATCCACGTTGCTCTGGCTGTGTGAGGCTGCTGGGGACACATGAGACACAGCCTCCCTGCTCTCCTGGAGCCAACGCCAATAAGCAGGAACTAAAATAAACAGAAAGGTCGGGCGTGGTGGCTCACACGTGTAATCCCAGCACTTTGCCAGGCTGAGGTGAGCGAGATCACCTGAGGTCGGGAGTTTGAGACCAGCCTGGCCAACACTGAGAAACCTCATTGCTACTAAAAATACAAGATTAGCCGGGTGTGGTGGCGCATGCCTGTAATCCCAGCTACTAGGAGGCTGAGGCAGGAGAATTGCTTGAACCCGGGAGACCGAGGCTGTGGTGAGCTGAGATTGCACCACTGAACTCCAGCCTGGGAAAAAGGGCGAAACTCTTCTTAAGAAAAAAAAAAAAAGGAAAAGAAAACAGAGTCTGTGAAATGCACAATGAAACTGAGACTCACTGGAGGAGCGGGGATGCAGGGCAGGTATTGGGAGGGAAAATTCCGGAAGGACCTCTCCGAGCAGGTGACATTTCAGCTAAGGCCAGAAAGGGTGAGCAGGAGCCAGGAGCTCCAGGCATCAGGAAATGCTGGAAAAACGACTCCAGGCCCGAGGATCAGCAAAGCGCAGAGTACCTGGGGGAATACACAGCCTCAGAGCATTTGAGCAACAGAAAGGGCAATGGGGCTGAGCTTCCTGGGGCGGTGAGGTCAGGCAGGGTGT